GCCGGCTGCAGGGAAGGAGCCGGCAGGGTCCTCGGGAGGAGCAGAGGCGGGGAGGCCACAGCCTGCAGGTCCCCAGAGAAGGGGCCTTGGCGTGGAGGGAAAGGTCCTACTGAGACCCGAGGAGTGCAGCGTCCCCCACGGGGACAGGAGAGACGGACGCAGAGGCCAGCGAGCGGCCAGTTAAAAGTTCACTGGTAGAATGAGACACTGTCAGTTACCAGCTTCTGCTCTTTCCCTGAGAAACAGGAGGCTGGGCCAGGAGGCAGCACGCCGGGAAGAAGGGAGGGGGTCCCAGGCCCGGGAGAGCAGACGGGGGCCTGGAACACGGGCCCTGGGGCTGCACCCCGGCTGGGGAGCTGCTCGGGCGGCCTTGAGCGCTGCCTTTCTGGTCTCCTGCGTCTCGTCCGTAGAGTGGGCACAAGGGTCCCAGCTCACGAGCGTCTATGAGGACGCGGGGCGTGAGGGACGAGAGAACGACGAGGTCCGTCCCTGTCCCGGAGCCGCAGCTCAGCAAGCCCTGCGTGTTGGGAGCCGTTCTGGGCCCACTGGTCGGGAGGACTCCTGGTGAGGTTGGGGCGGGTTTGCGCGGTCTCTTGCCGGTCGGATGGCGACCGATATCCACCCCCAATTGTTTCTGCTTGAGCACTGACCCCTGGGGTGCCTTGTTGATCAATGTCAGGAGTGACTTGTCCCCTTGTTCTGGCCCTGGTGTGATGACTGCACCTTGTGAAGGAACTTATTGTGGGAACAACTTCTTTTGATTGTGGGAGCAGACATCAGGTCTCCGGAGGGTCCTGTTTCCCTCCATACTTTCCCTTGAGCTATGAACAGGCTAATGACCCCTAGTCATGAAAGATTGACCTTTGCATGTGCAATTCTGTTTCTAATGTTGCGTTGTTCCGGGATGTTCGTGGAGCTCAACATCCAAATCAACTAACCAAAAATGTCTTTCATGCCCTAGCTATTCAAGAAATCATAAAAGTAGACACAAAGGTGAATGCACTCGTAGAGGCTCTTCTACATATTGGGAAATAAGCTGAACTCTTTAAAGGTATGGTTGGCTCTCTGGTGCAATAAAGCATATGGCTGGAAAATCAAGTCTTGCCCGGAGACAAAGAGCCTAGCTTGGAGAGAGGGAACAGATAAGGACGGAGGATGGGTTAGTGCATACACCTTTGCTAGCTGGTGGTGTATGGCAGCCCCTTCCCTAAGGCCTACTTTCCACAAACACCTTCCCTTACCCTGGCAGCTGTGATGAGGATGGATAAGAGTATCTACAAACCTATGACTTAATCTTAGTGTTATTAAATGTGAACACCTTGTTATTTTCTTAGTTACTCAACCCCAGTATAATTGGGGCAGTTCTGCAAGGGGACTTCTGTGGAACCTGTTTCTGTACATTTTCCAGACACATCTTATCACAAAGAGCTATCCATTGTGGACATTCCATTTTCTGATGCCATGTTGGCATTTGGCCTATGGATGGGGACACCAGGGCCGACAGGACAGAGATGCCTGCCTGGTGGTCGGGGGAGATCTCGGGGCTCTCTCACTCTCTTTCGCCGACACCTTCCATCCTTCGGGGACCCCTGGACCTGTCAGAGCCAGCGCGGCCTCCGTCAATCTGGCGCCCGAACAGAGGACCTGAAAGTAATCTCTTTAAATTATGTTGTTTTCGTTGCATTAGTCAGGACGGTTAGGATTCCACCGTATTGATTTGTATCGCAGTTCCCCCTTCGATCTACCATGATCTGTGTCCTCTGCTGAACTTGTGCAGAAGGAGTTTGAGTAGAAATTGACTAATGTCGGCTAAATCCGCCCCTGCTCAGAGCAGAGGGGGAGGGACAGGATCAGGGTGCAGGCTTCACACTCACAACTGAGGTGTTGCCAGAGGCTGCTTGTCCCAATTAAATCTCCATCCAGACGCGGCCTGGCATGCGGACTTCAGTGTACACAGTATGGAGAGGCCTCTCCGGTACTCAGTGTGGTTCCTCAGACCCTGGAATGTGGACAGAGGGTTCCTGCCACAGCTGAGGGACAGAGAGGCCCCAGAGGGACCCCACAGATGCTGTGCTGCTCACATGACCTCCCCCCAACAACGCCCAGCACTGCATGGACCACGTGTTAATACTTCATGTCTGGAAGGGATACAAACACGAGGCCAGAAAGTGCAGATGAGTGGGTTTGACCATCTCACACCCAGGCTCACAGGGACGGGGGTGGCCCAGCCTCACCTTGTTCCTGTCGTCCCTGGACACCTGCATGGCTTCATGGATGCCACCACCATGGTCCCTGTGCTTCTCCTGCAACCTTCCACCTGAGCCCCACACACATGGAGCTGAATCTGAGCCTTGGGAACCTTGCCCTCCCCCCACCATGACCCCACGGTGATGCCCACACCCACCAGCCTCCTGCAGGGACATTCCCTGAGAGCAAAATGCAGGGGAGGGAGCTGAGGGTCAGTGAGGGAGGGAGGGGTGTGGGCAGGGGAAGGAGACGAGCACCTGCCTCTCCCAGTCTCCAAGCTCTTCCTCTTCCCACGTGAGCGCCGCAGGTACAGCCCAGCTCCGAGGACCAGCAGCGCGACCGCAAGAGCCCCCAGGATGGCTCCCAGGTGAGCAGCACCGGCCTGTCCGTGTGGACGTGTTTCTCGCTCTCCGGGACGGTGAAGGATGAGACAAGGGACAATGTCAGACGCCCATCACCAAGCACGTGGAGGCATCTGAAGGGGCGGGTCTCGGCTGGAGAGGGGGGACATGGCAGGTGCTTTCCCCAACCAGTGCTGAGCCCTGCTGGGGGCCGGGTGCTGAGAGGAACAGGACAGGGTCCCCGCGCTGGAGGAGCTCGTCAGCGGGGGCGGGGCTGGGACACGCACAGGCAGCCGCCAGGGCCATGCGGTGCACTAGAGGTTTACAGCAGGTACGCAGGCCTTCAGGGAGGGCTTCCCGGAGGAGGTGAGGGACTAAGTGAGTCTTGACAGAGGAGTGAAGGTTACCAGATCTCGGGGGGTGCAGACTATAGAAGGAGGGACAAGACCAGGAACACCGTGTCCAATCACCAGCCCTGGGGGCAGCCAGCACCCCTGCAGCAGGTGGAGGAGGACCCGGGCAGGGAGGAGCCGGGGAGGAGGATGAGCGGGAGGCAGGAGCCTCTTGCAGAGGGTCTGGGGTGGCTGAGGGATGGGCTCCTCGGGGACTCGGGGACGCTGATGCAGCAGGTCCCCAGTAGCAGGGGGAGGTGGGGTGTGGGGACGAGGCGGCACACAGGGGCCCCGGTCACTCTTCCCTCGGGGACACCCTGACTGGGAGCAAACGGCCCGAGGCCCATGTGGGACAGGAGGTCACAGCAGGAGCAGCCGTGGCCCCGCCCACAGCTGTCCAGGCCCCACAGGACACTGACCCTTGGCCAGAGCAGCCCCTCTCAGCGTGGGGCCCTGAGCGCCCCCTAGAGGAGGGAGGCGTGAGGGCAGGTCAGCGGCAGCTCCCACAGGGCCCTGTGCCAAAGGCGCAGAGGGTCCTTGTCAAGGTCAAGCGTTGGACGTGAAGCCTGTATGGTTCTGTGTGCCTGCAGGGTCACACCCCGTGGGGCAGCTGCAGAGGTGTCCCTGGACGGGAGTGAGTGGGAAGGGAGACTGCAGTTTTGGAAGGTCTGGCGGCAGAGGGAGCAGCATGACCAGAACCCGGGGCTGAGGAGAGCAGGACACATCCGGGAACCCAGGCGAGCACGTGGGGGGGACGTGTGTCCCTGAGACAAGAACTGGGCACAGAAGCCCCGAGCCCTGAAGGCAGCGGCTGAGGAGCCTCCCTCAGGTGCCACAGACCACTGATTCACCCCTACTTGCTTTCCTGAAAACCTCCTGAGACGCATAAAAACTGACGGATGGGGGGAAAGACATGTGTGTGATGGGAGCTCCCTGGAGCAGCAGGGCTGAGGGGTGCAGAGGAGCAGATTAAGACACTGAAAGGCAGACGCAAGTTGGAATGCACCTGCCAGCCTCCTGGACGGGGTGACAGGGGGCAGGTGGTGACATAAACATGAGGGACAGGACACGGAACCCTCACCAGGGGGACCTGAGCCCCGGGAGTCCCCTCCCCTCAGGCAGGAACACTCACCGTGGACACAGACTTCCCCGAGGTCCTGGGTGGCACTTTTCTGGTCCACCGGGCTGCTGACCACACAGGTGACCCTGGGGCTGGGCTGGCTCAGGGGCAGGTTCAGAGCCAGGGTCCAGGGGTTGGGGGCTGGTCCTGGGGCCTCTCTCTGCTCCAGCTCCCTGGGGAGGCCCTTGCTCTCCCAGGACACGTTCACGGCCCCTGTGGCTCCCGGGGTGTGGCACTCCAGGGTGACGTTGCACCAGTCTCGTGTGAGGGACAGAACCTTGGCCAGGACCTGGGGACGGGGCACGGGCTCTGGGGCAGGAGGGACAAAGGACAGGGTGTCCCGTGAGTGGAGAGCATCACACTCCTGCTTCCTCGTGCGGAATCTCACTGACGCCCTGGCTCCTCCCCATTGGGACAGTGAGTCCATTTTACAGATAAGACAGACTTGACTCAAATATACAGCAAGTTCACTGAATGAAGCCCCATGTGATTCCACTAGACTGACCACGTCTGAAAATCACCCCAGAAAAATTACTTACGAGACCCCACCTGCCAGATCCCAGGAATTCTAAGACAGTGAGGTGTCCTCAGGAAAACACAGAGTCAGGGACAGAAGGATCTGTCCTGTTCTGGCCCCGGCCCCCCTCCTTTGGCTCCGATAGTGGCTGGGACTGCTTGGCCCCAGATGCAGAAATCACCTGGCAACTCTTGGCACCCAGAGAACGTCCTCAGGCCACCAGCAGGAGAGTCCGCAATGGGGGACGCATTGGGCTTAGAGGAATGGACTCCCCAAGCGCTGTGAGAAAATGCACTAAACTTGCCGTCCACGTGGAAGACAGGTGACAGGCTAACAGGCAGCCTGGGGACCTCTGGGACCAGGGTCTGTAGGAGCCACTCTCCCCGCAGCAGGATGTCTCCCTCCACTGGGGGAGTCAGAGACAGAGACAGAGGGAGGTGCTGACTGCGTGTCTGAGGAAGGGCCGCCCTGTGAGTGTCTCCTGCGTCCCTGGAGGTTCAGAGCTGCACCGGAGAGTCTGGGAGTGAGGGTGGCCTCGGGCTCGTGCTGAGAAGGAGGAGGGGACAGGCGGGGAGGACCCCACATGGGTTGTGACTGTGTCTGGTGACCATTGTCCCCAAAGATGACCACGTGCTCACCCGCACAAACTGCAGGTGTCTTAGGGTCCATGGCGAAGGGGAACTGAGGACACAAACCAGCTGATCCTAAACTAGGAATGGTCTGTATCCTGACAGGCCTGGTGGATCACAGGGTCTTCACTCATGGAGGGAGGAGGAGACAGAGGGGAAGGATCCAGGACCAGAAGGATCAGGCCACCAGGACCAGCTTTGCAGGTGGAGGAAGGGGCCACCAGCCAATGACGCGGCCACCACTACAATGTGTGACAGGAGAGATGTGAATCCTCACCCGGAGCCTCCAGAAAGGAGCACAGCCCTGCGGACACCTGACCCTCATCGCGGTGGCCCTGGGTCTGACCCTGACCCACACAAGGTGCACACATGGTTGGGGCTGCACTAAGACACCTGTGGGTCCATCTGTGACAGCAGCAACAGCCGCCACCACACCAGTTAAGGACACGTGTCCCGAGAGCACAGTAAGGGTTCCCGCAAACCCCCACCTCCCCATGTGTCCCTTTTCTGTCCTGAAGCACCGAGGGATCCACCCCTGCTGGGAGTCTCAGCCCCGCCTCCACTCGTGCTGAACACGCTGCTTCTGATTTCAGGGGAGAAGCAGAGCCTGAAGTCTGGGGTCTGGAAGGGATCCTGCAAGGGGGCCATGGACACTCCCAGGGACCAAAGCAGGGGGTAAGCCTGTCCTTGGGGAGGGGCCACCACGTACCGTAGACACTGAGGTGGAAATACTGGGCATTTTCTATCCCTGTGCTGAAGGAGCATCGAGCCCGGTACCACCCACTGTCCTCGAGGGTCAGCTTGTCAATCCTCAGGGTCATTGTGTTGAGCACATGGAGCCTCTCCTTGAACTTGTCCTGGGGGTTGACCCGTTCTGGAACATCCACCCCAGGAGAGACGTGCAGGAGGACTATGTAGTTTGACTCGTTTTTAACGGCCCAAGAAATCTTCTCCAGCTTGGCTTCAGGAGGTACTTCTGGACGTCTGGTCACATGAAACACCACAGAACCTCCTTGAGTCCCCTTCAGGGAAACTAGGTTTCTGGAATC